CTTACACACATGCTCACTCTCACTGCACTCCTACATAAACACACACACGGACACTCTCGTGTGCTCACGTGTACATACACTTCTACTCAGACGTGCCCTAACATATATACCCTCATGCAGATATGCTCACACACACTCATCAGGAGCTCTGGTGGCTGAATGGGAAGAAGCTGCACTGCAATCCCAAAGGTATGCAGTTTGAGGCCACCAGAGGCTCCAGAACAATGGCCATCTCCTCCCATGCAATTAACTGCCTCTGAAAACCCACTGGAGACTCAGGGTTGGGTCAGTTGCAGCTTGACGGTACACAGCAGCAGCAACAACAACACTCATGCAGGGGTGTGTGTGCACACATGACCACTCTCACACAATCACACTCCCACGCACACACAGGCATGCTTGCATACACTCCCATGTACTCATGCACCCGCTCACACACTCACTTTCATGTGCTGCCAGGACTTGTGCTACTCAAGAAAGGCCAGCACACGTCAGACCTCTCCACATACACTAGACTGCTGAGGCTCAGAACCTCCTTATCAGCTAGCTGAGCCTCCCAACCACATTCCTACTCCCATGCAAAGCCTGTCCCCCAGCAAGAGCAGCCAGAACCCCTGGTGCATCCAGTGCCGTGCGGCACCTCTGCACAGGTTGCCTGTGTCTGTCACACAGGTGGGCATAGCTATCTCCCACTCTCCCGTAGCTTGATTTTCAAACACATGGTCATTGTGAAAGCCAAACTTGGCCAGAATTTCTCGATGGAAATGCAGAAGTTCAAAGATGAGAGCGAGGACTATCTGGCCAGTATGTGGCACCGCCTGGCCCTCAACTCCAAGAGCATCTATGGGGAGCTGATGTGCCACCACAATGCCATCCGAGCCCTGCAGGTGAGGGACATGGGGGGCATGGAGGACAGAGGAGTTACAGGGGGACATGGGGAGTTGGTGTGCCACCACAGTGCCATCCGAGCCCTGCAGGTGAGGGACATGGGGGGCATGGAGGACAGAGGAGTTACAGGGGGACATGGGGAGTTGGTGTGCCACCACAGTGCCATCCGAGCCCTGCAGGTGGGAGAGATGGGGTGGGGGTGTAGCAGGAGATTGTGTATTAATATCCAGGGCTGCAAAAGACATGGGAGGATATGGCGGCCATGCAGGGCACATAATAGGGATACAGGGCAATGTGGAGGACATGAGGGATGCAGAGAGAATGCAGGGGAACACTGGGGATACGGGAAACATTTAGAGACCTGGGGGATGTTGGAATTTTGAGGATGTAGGGGGATGTGCCCAGTTCACTAGAACTGGGGCTGAGACTGCAAGCCCTGTACATGGGGGACCCACTGGAGGACATGTCTTTGAGCCAGTTCATAGGAGAAGAGAGGACCGTGGGGGTCACTAGGACAGTATCTGATAGGGAGGGGCAGTGGAGCATATTCATGTCCAAGTCTTGATGTCCAAACACATTCATTTTTCTTGGTCTCCTTAGAACAGAATTGCTGGTCAGATGGTAACTGTATGGTTAGACTTCTGAGGAACTGACCAGTTGTTTTCCAAGGTGGCTTCACTATTTGACATTCCCACTGACAGACACTGCACAGATCTTCTGATTTCTCCTTATCCTCTCCGACGTGTGTTATTCTGCATTGTTTTTATAGCTATCTTAGTGGACATGATGGCGTGTCCTGTCTGACCTTAGTTTCACTGCCTTGATGATTGTCGATGTCATGCAGATTTTCATGGGACACTTGGCCATCTGTCTCCTTTGGAGAATCATCTGTTCAGGGGGTTTTGCCTTTCGTTAGTTGGCCTTATTGCTGTTGGGCTGTAGGAGTATTCATTCTGGATAATATTGTCTTTTCAAATTACTTTTGCACTCTATTGATGATACAAAAGAGCTGAATTCTAGTAAGTCTGATTTCCTGACACTTGTACTGATGTGGTACCTAAGGGAACATAGTCCAGTCCAGTATTCAGGTCTTGGGTCCTAGCAGTGCTGCTTTGCCCTGAACCATGACCTCTCAAACATAGCCCAATCCTAGTAAGGACAGTGCCCCAGGAGACTCTTGCCTCTGGCCTTTTACACCAAACCACTTCCAGCAGTATCTTTTTCACCTTTCTTCCTGGGCAGGTCCTGCCCACACTGCAGCCTAGTGCCCATCCCTGGTGTCTCTATGCCCCAACTCTACCTAAGTTCTGCTTCAGACTTGTATATTCTGTGGCTAGCTTCCTCCTGAGCCCTATACCTACCCATCCACTGGAGTGTAAGTCGTAGCGATGAGGAAGAACTGAGCAAAGGGACTGGAAGAACAGAAGGCGTAGTCCCTCCATGAGACATAGTCCCTCCTTACAAAGTCTTGGAAAGCTTACTTTTTCACTGTGACCAAACAGTCCCCTCACAACTCCAGTGACAGGTGCTTGTACCACAGGCAAACCAGCTCAGGGCAGTCTATGGTCAGACAACAACCAGCTCAAGGTCACCCTACCGCCAGCCTACAGCAACCACACAACCAGCTCAGTCAGCCAACAGCCAGCCCACAGCCACCTCACAGCCAACCAACAGCTGGCACACAGCCAGCCCATACGCAGCCCACAACACTCACAGCTAACCCACAGCCAACCAACAGTCACTTCATAACCAGTCCACAGCCACCTCACAGCCTGCTCACAGGCAGCCAATAGGCATCCCACAGCTGGCCCATAGCCAGCTTGCAGGTGGCTCACAGCCAGCTCACAGCCAGTCAGCTCACAGCCCACCCTCAGCCAGTTTACAGCTGGATCACATATGCCTCACTTCAGGCTCATGGACCCCTCACAGTCAGCTCACAGCTCACAGCCGGCCCACAGGAGACTCACAGCTGGTTGATGGTCACCTCCCTGATCTACAGCCAGCTCACAGGACCTGGCTGGCTCAGGGCAGACTAGAAGCTACTTCCCTAGCATTAGTTTCTCCACAAGTTGACTTGATAAGAACCACTTCTCAGCCGCTTTCTTTCTGATTTCCCAGAAACCTGAGAGCAAGTGGCAGAAGGTGGACTACATCCTGGAACTGGCTGAGTGGCTGTACTTCAAGCAGTCCTCACGAGAAGACGTGGTCTTCCACATCAAGTGGGCCATTGAGATTCTGCTGGCCATGCAGCCCCTCCAGGACACCTCCGAACCAGGAGGTGAGCAGGGAGTCCTTGGTGTCTCTGTGGAGGATGAGATGGGCTCACTGAAGCTCTGACCCCAGTTCCCTGGCCGAGGGAGAGAGAATCTAGTGCCACATGACCTGATGTTGAAGGACAACTCCGCCAGCTTTAAGTGGTTGCAAGCCTTTCCACCTAGTCAAGCTGGGTCCCTTCCCAGGACAGAGTGTGGATGGCATGTTGTTGCATAAGGGCATCAGCACCCTCTCTCTGCTCTGACACCAGGACACAAGGTGTTCAGGCTGAGGTGGAGGCTGGGAGGGGAAGCCCACCAGGGACCCCAGTGTGGTGGTCTGGGCACAGCAAACATAGGCACTACAGGACTCCTGGGAGGACCTGCCCTCAAGGCACAACATTGGGCAGTGAACCACAGGACGCAGAGGCTGTAAGACACCCCACAGTCACTCCTATGGGGATCACCTCAAAGGGCATCCAAGAGAGGACAGCTGCCCAGGGACACCCTGGAAGCCAGAGTCCAGGCTATATGCCACCAGACACTGACCCTGCCAATGATGCTGGGGCCTAGGATGCTGTCCCGATCAGCAGGTGTGCAGTAAGCTCCAGGCACTGACCCTGCTAGTAAGAGGGCCGTGGACACTGGGCACTGTCCCTCTCAGTAGGAGGGCAGCAGGCACCAGGCACTATCGCTGCCAGTGGGAGGACAGTGGACACCAGGTAATGCAGCCCCTCCTGGACAGCCACCTGCCCGCATGCCCACAGCTGTCAGCTGTTCTCAGAGGCGCGCTCCTTTCTCCAAGCAGCTTTAGAGGCACCAGGCACTGCCTCCCCTGCAACAGAGAAGGCGGGGACAGTGCTCTTGGAGAGCATCACGGACGTGAGGCAGCTGGACATGCTGAGCCGCGCCCACGTGCTGCTGGCACTGACCTTGTCTCCAAGCTCACCCCACTACCAGGACTGCTGTCTCACCGTGTACACATTCATCAGGCGCATCTGGCAGGTGAGGTCGTCATCACGGCTGGGCACACTCTGACGCACACTGTCCTCCAGTCCTCACTCTCCCAGCCAGAGGCGGCACTGCACGGGCTGGTTGGAGCCTGTGCCAGAACAAGGTCCTTCCAAACAGACCTTCATGATGTAGTGCGCTTCCGTCCACTGCCCTGTGTTCTCTGCACAGCAGATGCCGCGTCAGCCCCCAGCCCTCCAGTTCTCACCAATTGCGGGGGGTGGGGTCTCTGAGGCCCTCTCCAAGTTAGAATAACTAACTTCTCTCACATTCTTACTCTCTCTCTTTTGCTCTGTCTCATTTCTCTTTTCTTCAGATTTCATTAACAACAGCAGGAAACTCAATTTCAGAGAGTAAAGTTATAGCAGAAGCTAGTTCACTTTTGGTAATACCAAAAAAAGGGAAGGAGAAGGAGAAAGCCAAGGAGAAGGAGAAAGCCAAGGCCAAGGCCAAGGACAGCAAGCAGGTACTCGGTGGTGGTGGGCGTGACGCCCAGTCCTCATGACAGCTGTCGCATGGCCTGCCATAGGAGTGTCATCAGGGGTGCAGGGTTGGGGCATAGGTGTCTTGCTGTCTGGATTCAGTCCCAGCATGTCAGAAGGAGGAGCTGTGAGGGGCCGAGGAACGTGGTCACGCAGCCTCAGGCCGAGCCGTGACCCCACGTGTGCTGACACTGGCGATGTCTTCAGCAGGGAAGGCTGTGGGAGCCTATGTGCACACACCTCCACCCTGGGGTCATGCAGGTCCACACCCTGACTGCAGCCTGGGGGAGCCACTTCCACCCCTGCTTCAGAACCAATGTGCTTGGGCTCTGATGGGTCACCTGCCCCTCGTTCACTCATTGGTGGAAGAGTGTGTGAGCCAAGAGGTGGTAGGGCCTGGCCCCCGGGGTGCCTGCCTGCTCTGAACTGGGTCAGCCAAGTAGACTAGATGTCCAGCATTTGCGCTAGGAACAGTGGTGTCCAGGGCATCAGAAGTTAAGTCAAACATGGCCACCTCAATCCACCAATCCAGAAAGTGGACCGGCACATGGACTCATGCTTCAGGGAAGCATGAACCCCACAACACCGTGAATGACCGTGTCCTCCCCGGACTCAGGCCGGCCACGTGGCCTGATCCTGAATAGCTGCCCAGTGAACATGTACCTTCCAACCCTCAGCCTTTGCCTTCACAGTTTCAGACACCTGTTCTCAACAGACTGGATGATCTGCCCACAACCACAGAGGAGTGGGCTTCCTATTCCTGCCCTGAAGAGGTCATTGACATGTTTAAACAGGATCAGAGCAGCCTCACTGTCAACGCGTCCACCATGCAGAAGCCTGTAAGTGGCCCTGTGCTGCCGCACCATGCCTGGGGACTGCCTCCAGCGTGGCCTGTGGAAGGGACACCTGTGTCACCACCTGGGCCCCCAGGCCCCCTCAGCCCTCCTCTCTCCCTCTCCGTCTCTGACCCTCCCCGTGTTTGCCTGTGTCTCAGTTTTCTGTGGCACATATCACAGCACTCACACACCCCAGTGTCTGGAGTACAAGCCCAGCTGTCAGACCGGTGGATCACATCCAGAGTGCTGGATCCAATGGCCACCCTGAGTCCACTATGCCTGAGTCAGTTCCACTCATAGAAACCCTATGGGACAGAGTAGAATGGCCCCTGAAGGCTCCCAGCTCGGTGGCTCGTCCAAGCAGCGTGCTCCTCCCTCCTACTGCATGGCTAATGGGTTCAAACACTCCCAGCTGAATGCACAACCACTGACCCACCAGGGCAGACCGCAGCTCCTGCAGCACATGCACCCTTAACAAGAGACCGGTTACTGGTGTTGACTTGATTCCACTTGGAACATCCCTGTGTTTCCATAGATTTTCTTGGCAAATCACCAGACTTTTCTTCCCCTGGGTGAGTTCAAACTGTTAACGTCAGGTGCCATCAAGTTGACCCTGACCTTAACCATGAGCAACATATCTGAACCTTGCCCTGGCCTGTGCCGTCCTCATCTCTGTCATGCCCAAGCCCATTGTGGTGGTCACTCTCCGTCACCTCATGGGAGGGTCATCCTCTCTGTCTCTGATTCTACCGCTCCCAGCATGAGGTCTCTGTCTAAGGACTGGGCCCTGCCAACAACATGCCCAAAGTGAGAGGAAATTTCACATCCTGGTCTCTAAAGAAAGAGCGTCATGGTTGCCCTTCTTCACGGCCGATCTGTTGGTTCTTCCGGCACTCTGTGGTATATGTGCTCCCCACGGGTACTGCCAGCTGCCATTCCCACATCGTGTTTCTCCACACCTGTACCAAACTAGTGCTGTTAAGCATCTTGGTTTTGACTGTTTTGATGGGTGTGTAGCAGGATCATTGTGGAGTAAGACTATTGTCATAAACTTGGACGTGGTTCCAGACCCTCGCTGGCTGTTGGACACCCTCCTCTGCAGTGTCCGGTCAAATCCATCGCCCAGATTATAGTAAGCTTTCCTTCTTCTCTTTACTGATGGGAAGAGAGTCTTTCTATCTTCTGACAAGTTGTGTAGTAACAATTGTCTAAATGAAGGACCATTGGGCCATCTTCCACTTTGCAGTGTGTCCTTCTGTTCTTTGAGTAGGGTCTTTTAATGTGGACAGATTCTTAATTATAATACAATTATTAGTATTTTCCCTCATGATTTGGTATTTGTGTGTGTATCCCATTTTTAAAAGAAAGGTCATGAAGATAGTCTTTTTTTAAATTTTTTTTTTATTTAGGTCAGTCTTTATTTGAGACTAGTGAAATTTGCTACATTTAGTTTGCAACTTGAAGGCAGAAAAGGTTTCCCAAGCTACACAGAAGTAGTAGTTGTTTTTATTAATTGTTGCCAAGTTAACTTTGAGTCATGGAAACTTTCTGTACAACAGAACAAAACGTGGACCAATCCTGCACCATCTATGTTATATCTTGGTAGGTCTCAGTTCATTGCTGCATATCTTCCAACCTCAGGGGCTCATCTTCCAGTGCTCTATTGAAAAATCTTCTGTTGTGATCCATAGGTTTACAATGGCTAATTTTTTAAAGTAAAGTAGATAGTATAGATTTCTTTCTAGTCCAGCTTAGTCTAGAAGCTCTGCAGAAATCTGTCCATCCTAAGTGACCCTGCTAGTATTTTAAATACCAGTGATATGATCTCTAACATCTCAGCAGCATGCTCGGAGCCATAGGACCATAAATTGGCAAATAAGTGGTGGAAAGATCGTATAAATGCTTTACTACATAATATACTCTTATATTTAATCTTTGGTGTGTCCAAGCCACACAGAAGAGAAAAAGAATCGACAGATCTGCCATCCAATGAGAACAGTCATTCTTTAGCTAACAAACTTGATGGGCAACGTGGTAGGCTCCAAAGTGAGACCATCTCTACTTCAGCAACTTTGACTCATTCATGGTCTTGTACGATCATTTAAATGTGGGAATTATTGGTAAACTCTTCAATATTTTACCAAAGAGTTTTCATCTATAACTCTCTAGGATACTCCAACCAAGCCAGACAATGAAGCCAGGAACTGGGAAAGAAATAGAAGTCTTAAAGGAGCTGAAGATTAATTACAGCAGCAAGAATAACGTGCAGAAATCAATATCTATTTGTGATAGCTATGAAAGTGTTCATATCAGCTATCTTGTCTTCTTGTTTCTGTGTGAAAATTATCAGGATATGTAGACATCAGTAAACACTGAAGATAGTCTTATATAAAGGTTTCTCTTTCAGATTTAAATGTACATTCTACCTAAAATTAATGTGTGTGTGTGTGTGTGTGTGTGTGTGTGTGTGTGCGCGCGCGCGCGCGCATGCGCGCGCTGTGAGGTGAGGTTCAGGCTCTGTTATTCTGTAAGGAGACCCCATTGTCCACCATGTAATAAATATCCCCGCAGCCCACTTGTTCACAGCGCCCCATTCATCACAGGTGGAGATTTTCTGAATCCTTTCTCACCAGTTGTCTGCCTGGCTGCTGTCTCCCTGTCTTACTACTGCAGCTTTGTGGCCTTGAGCATGATAGAGAAATCCTCCCACATTGCTCCCCCAGACGGCTTTGGCTGTTCTTTGCCGCTGCTGTGGGCTTGCGTGGACACCTTGTGTTGGTGCACTTCACAGATAGTGCGCCTTTACAGGTGGAAGGTTTCTGGCAGCTCTGCTGCCTGTGGGCACTCTTGCCCACAGCACATGCTCCTGCCGTGTTCTGTGGCCAGTGGGGTGTTCCCATGATGCTCCCATCATCCTCCTGTGCATTCAGTTGGGCTACAGTCATGACCATGATTTCCTATTTACAGGGAGATTTTTTAAAAAATAAAATGGTTTTATTGTGATATTTGATCTATTACAGTGATCTGTAACCAAACCCACAAGATCACTAATGTGTTGCTTATATATTTTACAAAGCTTGTCAAGTTCTTTTAAAACCGCACACAATAAACTCCCCAACCCAGGAGAAGACATCTTCACAGGATCGAGTCTCCCGTCTGCCATGTGTGCATCTCTCCATTGCTTTAAGCCTTCTTTGGTCTCTCTTAGCAACGTTTCCGTGAACACGGTTGAGTCTCCTGCATGCCTGTGCCTGGGCTGTACTTAGCACTGAGGAGGACAGAATTCTTCACGGATAAACCCTACCAGCTAGCAGACTATCATGCCTGCCCATTCTCTGACATGACGTGTTTGTGGTACATTTGCAGACACATACTTTGTATTACTTGGACCACCTGGTCAGGGCCCTGAAGGAGTTGTTCCTTTACGAGCTCGTGGTCCCAGTTCTCCAGATGGGCGTGGTCATCGCAAAGGCCGTGGTGAACAGCCAGAGCCTGGCAGACCTCTACCACCTCAGGTCAGTGTACCCCTAGGTCGCAGGAGGGTGGCGGGAGCCAAGTCCCCTCACAGTGAAGTGCACAGCCTTTACGGGTCAGCAGTGTTGTTGACAGTATGTGTGAATTTAAAGTGTCTAAAAAATGATAATATCAATCATATTGAAATACCTGAATATTTTAAAAAGTCTTTACCTTTTCTCATGAACTCTGTTACTTACGGTGTTTATTAAGAGAAGACCCTTGTCTTTAGGAAATGCATACTGAGGTGTTGAGTGAAAGCATATGTGCTACTTCAACTCATAAATCACTTGAGAAATGTGTGTGTGTGCACGTGCGTGTGGAGGAACATAAGATAGTGTGTGTGCATGTACGCGCATACGAGTAGATGAGCAGAAGATTGTGTACGTGTGTACACGAGTGGAAGAGCAGATGTGGGGCGTGCGTGCACACGTGTGAGGAGCAGAAAAGTGTATGTGTGCGCGCACACTCATGTAGAGGAGCAGAAGATTGTATGTATGGGGGAGCGGGAGATACTGTGTGTGTGTGTCCGCGTGCACTCGTGTGGGAGAGTGGAAGATGGTGTGTGCACATGTGTGAGGGAGCAGAAGATAGTGTGTTCTCATGGATGTGTGCACACGTGGGAAAGGGGAGGTTATTTGTGTTTGTGCACATATGTGAGAGAAGGAAGATACCATGTGTGTGCATGTGCCCACATGTACATGTAGGGGAAGAGCATGCGCGGGCACGTGCTCATGATGTGTGCCTGTGCGTATGTGGGGAGAGTGTGTAAATGCGTGTGTGTACATGTGGGGGGAGGGGTGGGTGTGCACTCACACGGCAGAGGAAGAGTGCACACATGTGCACCTGTGTGAGCAGGAAGATTCTTTGTATGCACACACAACACGTGTGGAAAGAGGAGGAAGAGGGCGTGAATCAAATGCGGTGCAGCCTTGAAAACGAGAGGACTGAGTGAAGTATTTGAGAATTGTGGGTGATCTTAGTGCACCTTACAGTTACCCCAGATTGCTTCAGAATAAAGCTGTTTTAAAAGCATCAGAGCAGAGCTGCTTTGCCCTGCTGAGATGTGGGTGCCCAGCCGCTGCTGTGTCTGCTACTCCCTCTGCTGGTGACTCAGATGAATTAAATCAATACATGAGTCAACACTAGAGTTTTCTGCCTGAAATTTGTTCGGGCTGTTTGTTGTGGGCTTTTCCCCAGTGATTTTGGAAATGTAGCCCAGTGGTATCTGTTTGTGCTGTTTACTGGTTATCACACTGAGCCATTCTCGCCCTCCTTGCTGGCCATTCTCAGCTCGAGCCCAGCTTGACCACCCCTCATCTCTCCTGCAGACTCTTCCACGTGTGCTCCGAGCTGGAGCTGCGAGACGCAGGCACATTCCACGAGGAGGTGGTCGGGCAGACGTACATCAATGAGACGGAGCAGGCGAGGTGTGTCCTGAGCAGCCTCTCTGGTCTGGCTTCTCCACTCGGCCCAGCAGAGGCACTTCTTGCAGATGGACTAGGGCAGGGAACATGCTGAGCTAGGGACCAGCATCCCCCGAAGTAAACAAGTTCACTACCCATGGGCTCTCTCCAGCATTGACCACCTGCTCCAAGCAGAGGGGGGGAGAGGAAGGAAGGAGCATTGTTCAGAACGGGAAGCTGGGGCCAGGCTGTGTTCTTTGCCACATAGACCCCCGCTGCAAGGTGTGTGTCAGCTATGGGAGCATCCGTGGAGCGGGAGTCTGGGAGCCGTGGCATACTGAGACAGGGGGCACTGGGGTCATGGAACAGGGTCCTGGGGCAGTGGGACAGGGTGCTGGGGCAGTGGGACAGCATCCTGGGGTCATGGAACAGGGTCCTGGGGCAGTGGGACAGGGTGCTGGGGCAATGAGACAGGTCCTGGGGCAGTGGGACAAGGTGCTGGGGCAGTGGAATAGGGTCCTGGGGCAGGGGGACAGGGTCCTGGGGCAGGGGGACAAAGTGCTGGGGCAGGGTGCTGGGGAGCTACAGTTCTCAGAAGAGTCTCAACACGAAACCTGAACCCAGTGTTATGAGCCCAGTGTGAGCTGGGATGAGTCTCAGTGGAGGGGACTGTCAACCCCTGTAAAACACTCCAGGTCCCAGACTGAATGTGGGATGAAGCCCGGCTCAGGTCTGAGCAGGCCGTAGCAGGAGCTCAGCGGTCAGCAGCCCGCACAGGGTGGGAAGGGCCCTGTGCGGACCATCACAGCCAGGAAAAGTGCCTGGTAGAGCCAGTGTCCTGAGGCTGGGGTACGGCCAGAGGGTGGTAGCAGGTGGGCCAGCCGGCTTGGTGGTCAGGAGGCAGGTGGGCAGAGGGTGAGCCATCATGTTGTTCACTTCTGTATCAGCTGCAGGAAGGAGATCGCTTTGAAGAAAGAGAAGAACAAGGAACCCACGCTGGACGACAGCGGGCACATGCTGCCCGAACCCACCCCACTGACCACAACGACCCTGCCCACCCCACCCAGGCCAGTGAAACCCCTCATCGCCAAAGACAAGGTGAGTGGGTGGTTCAGGAAAGCAAGGTCACCTCCAGGCTTGAGGCACCACGTGGGCTCTCCTCTCCTGACTTCCCGGGGGAGACACCACCTTTCTCTCACAGAGCAGCTGAAGGACTCTAACTGCTCACCTCTCAGTTAGCATCCAGACCTATCACACTGCACACACAGGACCCCTTGGGTGGTGGGAGTCCCAGAAGTGTGTTTTGTGTGTCCCCAGAGGCCCCGGACATCTTCAGGACTCAAGGTCTACAGGTACATGTACCCTGGGGTGGTGATCAGGGTCCACGAGAAGCAGTCCAGAGAAAGGACAGACGAGTAGGGGCCTGGGCAGAGCCAGCCCCCAGCCAGAGGGCAGCTGGCAGCCTTCACATCTGTAGGGTCGCAGCACGTCGGTTCCCTCTTCTGACTGCCAGTGGTCCAGCACCCATTCCTGCCAGCACCGCTCTACAGCACAGGACCACTGTCCCCTCTGAGGCTGGGGTCTGAGAGCAGGCCAATGCTGCACAAGGCTAGTGGGAAGTGGGGGCGGTGGAGGTTGTTCCTGAGGCCTCGGGGAGTAGTCACAGCCCAGGAGCACCAAGTGGCAAGGCTGTGGGATTCTGTCCCCAGCCAGACGGCTGCTGACAGGTGTGCAGGCAAGGCTCAGGTTTCCAGCTCAGCAGAAGTAGCTGGCCAGGCATGCAGGAGACCAGGTCAAGGTTGAAATGGTGGGCGAGAAGATGTTGGAGTTTGGGGCAAGCCTCAGGCTCTGGGGCAGAGGTGACCACGTGTGAGGACGTGGGCCCCAGCTGCCAGAGACAGCCCTGAAAAGGCAGCTTGGCACCCGTCCCAGAGACCAGCCCTGGGCCTGCATGTCTACAGGTTCTGAAGGTGGACGGAGAGACTGAGAAGGGCCTGGACGGCACGTCCTTCCCCCTCCTATGGACGCTCAAGGCGGAAGTGCTCCTGGAGATGGAGCTGCACCAGCCGGCCAGGCTGCTCCTGGCTGAGGCGTGCCAGGCCTTCCAGGTGAGGCTTCCTCATCCCACCCCTCCCCTCCTGGTCAGACGCCAGCCTGACCACAGACCCCCAGGTCCTGTCTGTTGTGACTAGGTACTGCCCTGCCCCTGCCCTGTGTTGGGCAGGAGCCTCTCACAGAAGCCCTGGGGGAGGGTCAGGGGCTGCAGACTCCTGGAGGCCTCTATGACCACTCCAGGACCAAGGCTCCAGATGAGAGAGTGCCAGCTAGGTCATGTGCCACATTTCATACAGGACCCCTCTGACCCCTAACTGGCTGTGGGGCAAAGGGCATGGGCAGAATAGGGTTTGGAGACTCCTGTGTGAGACAAGGCAGTGGGGCTGGTGACAGACGCTCATGCTGGCCTCCGACTTTCCTGATGTGAAGTATCCATTGTGAGCAGTATGTTCACACATGTGGCTGTCTGGGCGTGCATGCATAGGTGTGTACATGTGTGTGGTCATGTGTGGATATATATCTATATACATGTATGAGTGAGATGTGTGCATGTGTATGTCATATTATGTAGATGTATGTGTGGTTTAGTGTGGATATCTGTTATGTGTGTAAATGTGTATTAGTGTGACTATCTGTGTGCATGTGTATGTATATGGTGTGCATGTATACATCTCTGACTGGTTGTATATGTGTGATCTGTGTGTACATGTGTGTGTCATATATGCGTGGAAGTGTGAATATGCAGGCGTTGTGTGAGAGCATATCTATGTAAATGCCCATGTGTGCACATGTGTTGTGTGTGATATACATGTGTCACTGCACATACAGGTGCTCACACATACGTGTTATGTGCATTCATGTGTCTGAGTGTGTGTGTGGACATATGTGTGGCATGTGCACAGTGCATATGTGCTCATGTGTTTGCATGTTTGTATACAGTGTGCAGAGGGTTTACCTACATATTCCATGTGAAGACATATATGTGCACACACGTGTACATGTTTGACCATGGTTGTGCACACGTGTCCTGTGTGCTGACCTGTGCCTGTGTGTTGTACATGTGTGGTCATGGATGGATACACAGACACATTTGGGGGGGGTGTATGGGAGCCTTCCTCTCTATCTTTGTAGGACCTGGATGACCCATGTTCAGAAGCAAAATGTTTGCACCTTCTTGCTGAGTTGGCAAACAAGGAGAAGAACTACGGGCAGGCTGAGAGAATGATCGAGCGGGCCCAACACCTGGGTGGGGGTGAGGAGTTCTGGTACCGCTCCACCCTGACGCTGGCCGAGATGATCCTAGCCTCAGAGAACCAGGAGAGACACATGCTGGTGAGGACACCCGGGGAAGGAGCGACGGAGGGGTGCGCCCACATCTGGGGGAGGGGCGAGGGAGGGGCACACCCTACCCCACTGGGTGGGAGCTGGAGGGCCACCTCCTGCTCCTTGGGAGCCAGGGCTATGGAGCGAGATGCCAACAGGCATCCTTACACCAGCATCCTCTGCAGGTGTGTCAGCAGTTCCAGAAGCTCATTGAGGTCTTCACCACTCTCCAGAAGGAGCGTCCCAACAGGGCTTCGCTGCTAGAGTTTATGACCACTGACCTGGAGGCCAGGTGACTTCTGTGGGGACACTGTCAGCTATTTGGAAAGCCTTGGTTCACTTAATCTGTATGCTAGGGTCTAAGCCATGTTTCAGAGGTGCCCACTCCGCAGCTCTGAAAAACCCTGAAGGCCTGTCTCCACTGGTCTGAGGCAGGAGTCAGCTGGCCATTCCCTCCCTGGAGTCAGGCAGGCCTGCAGGCAGGCAGGCTCACAGGCTCAGCTCTAGGATTGTCCTGGATGCCCTGGCTTCTTGCCATCAGGCACAAAGTGTTGTCGTCTGGATATTTTGAAGCGTCAGGATAGAGAGGATTCTTGTTGACTGTTCCCCATTGCTCATGCTGTTTCATCAAGTGATCAGTGTTTCTCTGGGATCCCCGGGGTCACCTTCAAGTTCATCTATTAATGTCACACTGATTGGGACCCTCACCCTCTCATCCTACCTGTTGTGTAAGGGCAGTTAGGACCCCGTCTTCCTGACGACACCCCTCTCTTGGTTCTGTGGACACTGGTCACTGCTAGATCAGAGTGTGTGAGTGTCCTAAGCTACTATTCCTAGAGGATTGAAGCTACGAGATGAAATTTTCACACATATAAACACACAGAATGAAACAGGCTCAGAAATCTTCATTTCAAGGAGAGGGTTCACATGAGGCAGAGGCGGGGGAGGCCGGGGAGGTGAGTCCAGGTCATCAGCAGGCAGGGCCTCAGACACTGGAGGCTGCTGGCTGTAGAGATGGGCACGTCTAGGACATTGTTGGCCGAATCACAGGCCGCTGTCCTTGATGAGCTTGTGACAGGCCATGGTTGAGATCAGGAGACAGTGAGCCAGATGGCCATCACGGACAAGATTCCTGGCTTTGCTGGAGAGTCCAAACCTAAACGCAGTGGAGCCCACACCTCCGGGGCTTCCCCTCCGTCAGACGTGGCTGCTTTGTCTTTGCAGAACCTCCGTTAACCCTGCCTCACCAGCATCACACGGTTACAGCCTTGGTGGGATTTATAGCCCATAGGAGAACTCATTCTGTAAGGATCGTGGTGACCCCGACCACAGGGGAGGGGAGTGAGGCAGCACGTGCGACAGGTGCAGGCATGGGGTGGCTGCTGAGGCACGTACACACGTGTCAGAGGAGCCGCTGAGCCCCTCTCTCTGGCAGGACACCCCCTCAGAGCCCCTGTCTCTGGCAGGACACCCCCTCAGAGCCCCTGTCTCTG